GCAAGTGTCTTTCTTCCCTTTGAAACCTTCCCTCTCCTTTCTCTACAAAAACCCCTAGCTGTGACACGTCATTTGACTACAACTCATGTTCCATCCCCACCGCCTCCCTGCCACAGTCACTCCCCCTTATTCTTTGAAGGTTTTAGTTCCAGGAGTCTCTTAAACCATACTAGAATTTGTCCAGAAATATATAAAAATCATTTAGAGTGTGTTGGGCATTTCATTGTCAAAAAACCTAAACATAGTATCTCAGTAGAAAACAAAAATAAAAACTGCTACACTGCCATCTGCCCCATCTAGACTGATGCAGAGTGGCAGTGGGGAGGTGTCTTCTCCGTACTCCTTTCCTCTACTTGTCTTTGCTGTTTCTCAACACAAAGGGATGCTTCTGTTGCAGGACTCTTGTGCTTGCTGTTCCTTTCTCCCCCGAGGGCTTCTCTCATCACAATCTTCACCTGACTGGCCCCTTACCTCCTTCAGGTCTTTGCCGAAATGCTACCTTCTCAAATGACTGTATTTCAAATTGCCCACCCATATTTCCAGCCTTCCTATTTCCTTCCTTGCTGTATTTTTCTCCATTGTACTTATCACTTGTTGATATGATATATATTTAAATGGTTTATTTGCTTCTTGTCTGCCTCCCAGGTGGGAATATTTGTATGTTTTGTTCACTGCTATATCCACAGTGTCCATATGCCTGGCACAAAATGAATGCTCATAACTATGTATTGAGTTAATTAACCCTATGGGGTAGGTACTATTTAATAGTACCTACCCCATAGGGTTAATTAAAAAATTTTAAAAAGTATGCCCTTAAAACTCCCTGTGGTATTAACTTGTAGGTTGTCACTTCTCTGTCAGGCAATATTTGTTTATGGCCTAAAGGGTGCTGAACAGTGCTGGGTTAAGGCTGGTAACCAGGCAAGGTGCCAGGTATGGGTCAAGCCCCTTCTTTGTGGTTTCTCACCACTCCCTCCTCCTTCCCTTGGAGTTGCCCCTTTAATTTAGACTCATCCCCAAGATCACCCTGAAGCAAAACACAGTAAGAGCCTAGGTGACATGAACATAAAACACACAAGAATGGGGTTAATAGATGCAAAACTAAGATGTCAGGAATCTGTCACTTGAGAAATGCATTCTAGTGCTTGAGAAATCTTCTGAACTGTTTTAATTTCATCAGATTAGTCAAATCCTGGAAAGACTTTACCTAGCTATATGCAATAAGGGTGTGTTTATATAATAGATAATAAAGATATGCAGAAAGAGTATATAAACCTATGCAATTATGTGGTATGGGAGAAGGGGGAGCAGCAGCAGATGATGAACCATAACTAAGTGCTAGTCATGTCTCTGCACTGCTAAATGCAGTGACAGTTTTATTGCTTGATAACATAACCCTATGATATAGTACTATTATAATCCCTGCCACATGAACACAAAACATAGGCAGGATTGAATAAACAGGCCCAGCCCTGGTGTCAGAGGGAACACGACCACAAAGGTATCAACTAGGAACATAAATTTTGTCCGTTCTGGTCCTGTGCCACTTAAATCCACCATCTATGGTGAATGGGCAGGTCATTTAACACCACCGAGCTAATATTTGAGCTAAGCACTTAAATGGACATTATTTTATTTAATCCTCACAACTGCCTTATTAGGTGCTTTCCTTATCTTCGTTTCAGAGAAGCAGCAGCTGAGGTTTGCCCTAGCTGGTTTGGCTCAGTGATGCAGAGCCTCCGTGCAAAGACCAGAGGCGGCATCTGCCATCCCCGCCCTGGTTGGGACAGGAGGCAACCAACCGATGTGTCTCTCGCACAAGTAATGGAAAAAATATCCTAGGGTGTGGATTTAAAAAAAAAAAAAAAAAAAAAAAAAAAAAAAAGAAGAAGCTGAGGTTTAGAGAAGTAAAACAATGTACCCAATATTTGAAGTGGATATGTCTGACTCTAGAACTGGTCTATTCTATCGTTCAATGCACCTACTAACTAACCTCTGTGTTTTTGTGAACATCAAAAAAAGATGTGCATAAGAACACCTTGTGAAACATTGAAACTTAATGTCAATTAATATTACAAAATCGGCCTAGGCTGTATAGAAGTTCTTTAGAATTTAACACAGCCAATCATAGTATCATTTCTTAAATGCTTACAAGGTTTCTGTTACAAACATTATGTTATAATCTTCACACAAACCCAGGGGGAAGGAAGGCCCTGCTCTAATTTTTCGATGTCAAATTACGCGTGTTTTTCTGAAACGCTGCTAGGGCGTGATAACGCAGCATAAGCCACCCGAAGGAAACGCGGCGTGCTCCCTAGCTTCCTGCATTTAAGAGCCGAAAACGCGGGCGCTGGAGGACTTCCGAGGTTTCAGCTCGGGGCGCAGGCCCAGCCACCGCGCCAGAGGGAACGACACATGGTTTCAACAGCAATGGAGCGGTTACTTTTGCTGAACAGGGATGGAAGAACCGCGTCGTTACTGGAGCTCTCCGAGGGAGCTGCAGTGAAATCCAATCCAGGCTCACGACTGCTGGAGAAGCTACAGGGCCTCCAGCCCCATGCATTTTCCCTTGAGCGTCCGGGTAGCTGCTGGAGCGTGGGCGCGGGCTTGGCTGGATACGGAGCTTTCGGGGGTGATCCTTTCTCCTGGGTGACTGGGATTGACCGTTACAATATATATGAAAGGTGTCAGTCGTTTCATTTGTTCTGCAAACGTTTACGGAGCGCCGGCCTGCCATTTCCCCGATATACGTAATGCGGTGGGGACACCAGCCAAACCCAACGCCCGCGCGCCCGCGCGCGCCTCGGTCACGGCGGGTGTACGACGCGGAGGGCTAGGGTGGCCTCGGGCGTTCGCCACCTAGCCGACGGCGAAGCCCGCAGCCGCAGCGCCG